AGGATTAATAGCTTGTAGAGAACAGTTATTAATGTAGCATTTTCGTATGTGTGTTATCATGACATCATTTGTTGAAATAAAAGGAATTGGGTCTAATATTATTTTTTTCATAAAAATAATTATTTTAATTTCTCCATTATACTTATAACTGCAAATATTAGTAATTATACCAAAAATATTATTTTCAGTCTCTACGACATAATCTTTTATTCTTTTTGCATTTGCGTAACATTCTGTCGTAAAACGAATGTTGTTGTATATTATTTTCTTATATAATTTACAATCGATTATATTATGTTGAAGACATTCTGCTTCTTTTGGACGAAGGGTACTTTTACTTATACTTTTTTCCAGAATCAAATAAAGAATAATGTTGTGTATATAATGTAAATTTCAATTTCATTTTATATATTATATATTATATTATCACAAAACTTTTGAACTTACTAATTTGAACTTACTAATTTCAACATTTTTAGAATATGTCATAATAAATTTTTCCAATAGAAACCTGTGTGAAATTTGCAATGCAATATGTGTAGGACACTTTTTTATTTGTATTAATAATCTATTTTCATTTTCAAATGGAAATGTATTTATTACCCATAATGGACCTCAATTTTCTACATTCTTAGAAAGATGAAGTAATAAATGGATATTGTACGTCATGGAATGTTTTCCAAAATATTTTTGAAACAAAATGACAAATTTTGTTGCAAACAACAAAGCAACATATGTGATTTTTGTATCATGTGAATTGAAATAGATTTTTGTAAAAGAATGTGAATTGCATGGACTAGCATTGCAAGATGATGCAAATATTTTTTGGTAGAATGCTATGTAAATATATCAAAAAATAAAAAAGCAACCATGATCTCCATTCAAAAGCCTTCCATAAAAATTGCTCATGTAAACTTTTCGGTTGACGTGTAATACTCTTTGGAGGTATTATATAATAACAATCGATTATTTATGTTTTCGAACAAATTTGGCTTTCCCACATAAAATTTTTGTTCTGTTGAAGATAAATATATTTCCGTTAACTGTCCTATAACTAAGAAGACTAGAATACTGAATGCATATAATCAGGAACCATTCTATTTACCAAATCAAAATATTTTAAATTAATTAATAATTCATTAATGGCGAAAGTCCTTTCACGCCTTTAACAGGAATCGAGTTAGCATGAACAATAATCATATTTCGCTTTATAGATGTATCAGTTCTATTAAAAGGTACATTTTGTTGAAACAGTGTATTTTCAAGAGCTCTCTACGTATTCGGTAGGATGTTCACAAAATGTGCAACCATAATGACTATTAAATTGTTTCATATTCAGTATGATTGGTCGAGCAACTGAATCTACACAACAACATAATAATAATACGATTTGTTACAGTATTAATTACAGTATTTTTATATTACCATTGCATATCATAAGTAGATAAATAATTTGTCTCTTTTACAAAAGGTTGTAAAAATATTTGCATGTTTGGTTCATGTTTATTGACCTATATACCAATTAACATCATGTATTTTGCTCTAATTTCATATGGTAATTCGTTTAATGTAGCAAATAGGCCAAATAGTAACTTTACTAGAATTTGCAGCTTGATAGCCATCTGTATTAAAAGTATATGAAAAATTCCATTTATTTGTTAAAACTTTGTTGGGTTCGCATAATTTTTTATACATTGCACCGCATATATATTGTAAAAAATTATTATTGTTTCTTTTATAATATCTAATTTTTAGACTTTCTTGTACATCTGTATTTTCTAATAAACTTTTTAATTGAGTGTAAAAATTTAAAGTTATAAAAACATTTGCACTTGATTCATCAATTATTAAACCATACGTACAAGTAATTTTTTTTTTGCTTCTATTTTTGTTCGTTTTTAAATACTTTATACAAAGAGGGTAATAGAAGTAATATTTTATTGTATTTTGTGTTGTATTGAAAAATATTTTGATACTTTATGTTTGCTATCGGGAAGTTTACATTTTTTATCATAAAATTAGATTTATCATTTTTAAAATATCAATTGTTGCAGTTAAAGTTAAAGAATGGCGACTTAGTATCATGCACATTAATAAAGCTTCTGCATGTGTTTTCGTCATACAATCATAAAGACCATTCACTAAGGAATGAATTATATTTATCTATAAATTGAGTGTTGAAATCTTCGGGGCAGTCCTACAAAAAAATCTTACTATAATTATAAATTTATATTAGTACATTATAGTTTATATTAGTACATTATTTATTATGTTTAAAATAAAGATACTTTTTAATAATTTTATTTTAAAAACTTAATCGTACATCGGATAATATAATATTTACTTAAGAACTTTTCAATAACATAAATATATTCATATTTATTTTATTTTAGATAGGATGAATTTCACACATAACATGCTCAATACTTTGAAAAGTTTACATAATGCAAAAATTATTTGTAACAAAATTGTATTTTCAAGGATATAAAATATATAAAAGGACATAAAAAATTTCATAATTCTATTTTGCTATTTTCTTTACATATATAGCTTAGTAGATTAACAAAGGGGGTCCTGAGCTCCCAGGGGGGAAAAGGGGGGAAGAGGGGGATCATGGGATCCCCCGGGGATTCGCATCCGGGGGGGGTCAAGGATGGGAGGGGGGGAGGGGGGGGTCGAGTGGAGGATTCCCAAGAAGTTCGCATCCGGAGGCCATGTCGGTAAGGTGGTTTCTTCCCCTGGCGGTCGCGGGCT